GGAAGAGAAGCGTTCCGCTCTTCTCAGGTGATTGCTTGTCTGCAAATCAGCAATAAAAGCTTATTGTTGCTAAAATCTCTGATTAAAAATCCTACAGCCCCTTTTTTGCAGTAACTTGATGTGTTATGTTTACATTAACATGGTTGATGGTTTTGTTTTTTGTTTTCCAGTTATGAAAAACCTCCTCCTGGGCTTATCAAGGTTAGTGTGAAGTTTGTACTCTTGGTTATTCCACTAGACATACTTGTAGACTTAGTAACTTGTTATGAAAAATGATTGCATGATATTTAAATCTCCTTTTACCAAAAGCCTATTTCTTTCCTGCAGATGACTGAGGGGTCATAATTTTTAGTTTTGTCACAAGGCACTGCCTTTGTAGAAATTTCATCAGCCATGTTTCCCTTCCCCAAAGAACCAGTGCAGGCCCACGTGGATTCCTTGGTCTTGCCCCTCTTCTCTCTTGCTGGGGACGGCATCTCTACGCTCCTTTTCCTTGTCGGCCTCACCCAGCTCAGCCCCTTGGTCCATCCTGTGCCAGTTTCTTGAGCTCAGCAGCTCAGAGAGGAGTAAACTCTGAGGAGACCCGACAGCTCATCCAGTCCCGCTCCCCGGTGCAGGCATCCCTCCTGCAGCTCCCTGGCCACAGCACCAGGGTGTGTGCGCATGAGGGAGACTTAGAGTGGCAGGCCACAGCAAAGAAAACTTGCTGTTTCATAACTCTCAATGAAGAAATATTTTTTAAAAACATTAGTCTATTGTAAATTTAATATTCATAGAAACTTGAAAAAACTCCAAGTTTAAAAACACATTAATTGTAAATGCAGTTATTGAGTGGCAAAAATGCACATCAGAGATACAGCATGCATGTGACTATAAAATATGACAGGGCCTTCAGGGTATAATAAGCTTTAACAGGCCATTTCTATTATTCCAGGAAGTCTGGTTTACTTTAATTCTACATTTTGAGGTAGTGAAACTTTTTTGTTTTTAATCTGAAATCTAATTTGGAGCTCACCACTCATTGCTATATAAGGACAGATTTTTCTGCTTCACCAGTAACTTTTCTCTAAGAACAGCTACATTGTTTTTGGTATAATTATTTTGGTACATTTGTTTCTTATTTTTTCAATCAGGTGTAACTTGTCTTTTTTTCTAGTTTTGAGGGGTAACTAAGATATTGTTGGCACCAGAAGCCCAGGAAAAAGCCAGGCGAGGGTGGCTCCAAGGGGAGCAGGAGAGAATCCAGCACTGTCTTGCCATGCTGTTTATACCTGTTCCCTTTTTTAGGAAGATGAGACTAAGCCAGAAGATTGCATACCAGATGTACCAGGCAATGAACACGCCAGGGAATTTCTGGCTCATGCACCAACTAAAGGACTTTGGATGCCACTGGGGAAAGAAGTCAAAGTGATGCAGTGTGAGTGTGGGAGAGTTTCCCTAATCCATGCAACTTACACGCCGCAAAGGGTGTTTACTTCTTTTATTTAACTTGTTCTCATCACAGCCCTCTTATAGCCAAGGCATGTTCTCCATCTTCTAGATGAGGAAGCATCCACCCCACCCCCTAACCCCATGCCATGTGAAGACAAAGAAAGAGGTCTGTCATCTTAAGCCAGGAAGAAAGCTCTCACCACAAACCCACCTTGCTGGGACCCTGATCTCAGATTTCCAACCTACAGAATGAATGAGAAAACCAGTTTCTTCTGTTGTTTAGGCCACTCAGTGTATGGCATTTTGTTATGTCAGCCCGAGCTGACTAAGACACTATCTTTCTGCAAGTTCCCTTAGCCTCTCTCCTATGCTGGATCACCCATTTTCCTGTGTCTTGAGTCTTCTTTATTATTATATTCTCTCCTTATGGTATAACAAATCCTATGGCAGTTACCTTCAAAATGGATTTATAGGAGATAAAAATGTCAAGACCTTTACTTCTCTGGAATTGTCTTTGACAGATTTTTAACTTTACCAGGATATTGAATTCTAATTTAAAAATCAGTTTCCTTAAGAATTTTGATAGGAATGCTTCATTGCCTCATCATTTGTTAAGAGCACAGATAACATGTCTCAGAATTCATTATCTATCAGTTTTTCTTCTTTGGGTGGATTATATTTTCCCAGAGAAGGCTCCCACGTGGAGAGAAAGCCATGCTATGAGTGTTCTGGGAGCCGAGTGGAAGGAGTCTGGAAATGGGTCCATCTGCTTTTCATTCATTCGTGTGACCCTTTGTGGCACTGTAGCAGCTTCCTTCAGACCTACCTGATGTCTCCCTGTTCTCCCTGGTCAGAGACCCTCTGTTTTACCTCTTCCAGACATTAAACAACCTTCTACCAGGGTCAGGAAAACAGGGTCTCAATCTGTCACCCGGGCTGGAGTACAGTGGTGCGATCACAGCTTTCTGCAGCCTCAGCCTCCCAGAATCAGGTGATCTCACCTCAGCCTCCGAGATAGCTGGGACTACAGGTGTGCGCCACCAGGCTCCGCTAATTTTTTTGTATTTTCGTAGAGATAGGGTTTCACCATGTTGCCTAAGCTAGTCTCGAAGTCCTGGCCTCAAGCAATCTCCTCGCCACTGCCTCCCAAAGTGCTAGGATTACAGGTATGAGCCACTGTGCCCAGTCAACGTTAATATTCTAAGAGAACTGTGATTTTGTTTACTTATAATAAGTGAGAGCTTTGAACAGACTCAACCTGAGAAAGAAGCTTTTATAGTGTCTAAAATAGTAAATGAGAAGCAGAGATACTTTATGAAAATATTTACTCTGAAAAATATACTGAGACACACTTTAAAAAAAATGTACCTTTTGGGCCGGGCGTGGTTGGTCACGCCTGTAATCCCAGCACTTTGGGAGGCCGAGGTGGGTGGATCACCTGAGGTCAGGAGTTCAAGACCAGCCTGGGCAACATGACAAAACCCCGTCTCTACTAAAAATACAAAAATTAGCCGGGTGTGGTGGTGCGCACCTGAAATCCCAGCTACCCAGGAGGCTGAGACAGAAGAATATCTTGAACCCAGGAGGCAGAGGTTGCAGTGAGCCGAGATCACGCCACTGGACTCCAGCCTGAGTGACAGAGCAGGACTCTATCTCAAAAAAAAAAAAAAAAACTTACCTTTTGAAGTAATTTTCCATTGGATTGCTTCATAAATACTTGGTGATAGATTATTATTCCTAAAGGTATAAGACTCAAGAATGCTTGGGAAAGCAATTAGTTTACCTCTGTTTCTGGGATCTTACATGGCTTGTCCATAATTATATTTTGTTTTAGAGTTGGAGTTTAATGAAGAAAAACTTGAATATATTCTGCTGATTCTTTATCTTGAGTAGGTGAAACTGTGTTATCTTACAGAAATAATTCTTTTTGTTTTTAGGTTGGCGTTGCAAACGGTATGGTCACCGAACGGGCGACAAAGAATGCCCTTTCTTTATCAAAGGCAACCAAAAGTTAGAGCAGTTCAGAGTGGTAAGTAAAGTCCCAGAGTGTCAATTTACATTTATCAGAAATAGTGAAAATCAGTGAAGCAGAAAGTCACCAGTGAACTGAACGTTCACATAAAATACATTCCCAGAAGCCCTTTGACCAAAGTGTGTGATGCTAACTACATGCTTATTAAATTACATTTGTATGACAAATTAGCTCTTCAACAAAAAAAGGAATTCTTATTAAAGTGGTCTTTGCTTATAACTTGGAAGAGTGATTGTTTTTTTCCTGAAACAGACATTGTTATCTATTCAACCCCCCTTTTTAAAATTTACTATGTAAAAAGTCATGTTTCATAACTAAAATCAGGGATTTAATTTCCCAGTCTTTAAAGAGTACATGTCTTTAAATTGTAAGATTAAAGTGTCCGTATATTTTTTCTTCAGATGACAGTTATTTCCTGTATTTTTCTTTTGTTTGGTTTTGAGGTGGCAGTGTTACAGCTCTGTGACTGCTCCTGCAGAGCAGGGCTACCCCAAAGAGAGTGTGCTGAGAGTAGCCATTTCCTGTATTTTTCTAATTGGAAAATCCTTTTTTTAGCCTAAATGAGTTTTCAGTGATGTGACCTAGAACATGTTGAACATGCAGCTACATCAAACAGAAAAAAAAAAAAAAAAGCTGGTTTTCATAACATAGGCATTTTATTGTATTTAACTTGTGGTCCATGAAGCCTAACCAAACCTTAACCTTCTCTGACGCTTAAGGCACATGAAGATCCCATGTATGACATCATACGAGACAATAAACGACATGAAAAGGACGTAAGGTGAGGTCATCCTGATGATAACAATATCCTCTTAAAGTTTTAAAATTATATAAAGTTGGAGAAAACCACTCTAGTGTTAGAGGAATGGTGCAGTAAACACGGTACTTCAATTGTGAAAATATGTGGAGTGCAGGAGTCATGGCTGAAAAGGCCAGTGTTGGGAATGAGCAAGCCAGCCTTCTCCTTGGGTTAGCTTAAAGCCATAGGCTTGGTCCAGCTCTCTGGCCACTGCAGTTGATGTTGGCAACCCATGTTGTGCTGTCTACTTGTACAGTACAATTGATACTTTCATATGATACAGATTATCTTCTCCAAAGTCTTTAGGGATCTGAGCTTTTGTTAAAAATTATACTTAGGCCAGGCTCACTGGCTCACACCTGTAATCCTAACACTTTGGGAGGTCGAGGCCAGCGGATCACTGAAGTCTAGGCGTTTGAGACCAGCCTGGACCATATGGCAAAAACCCCATCTTTGCAAAAAAATTTAAAAATAAAAATTAGCCAGGTATGGCAGCATGCACCTGTAGTTCCAGCCACTCAGGAGGATGAGGTGGGAGGATCTACTTGACCCCAGGAGGTTGAGGCTGCAGTGAGCCATGATTGTACCACTGCACTCCAGCCTAGGTGACAGAGGAAGACCCTATCTCTAAAAAAAAAAAAAAAAATTAGACATGATTAGAGAAAGGTGGAAAAAATTGGAGGGTTTTTTCAAATTGGTGGCATGATAACTGTTAAAGATGTAGATTAAGAAATTGAGCAGTAGGGGAATGGTTTAGTAAAGTATGCGTCTGTTAGAAATTACAATTGTAAGGACTGTGGAGACAGGAGAAATGTCTAGGACAATAAAAATACAAAATGGCTTGTACATTGGTTACAGTCACGTAAAGTAGGCATTCAGTGGAGAAGAATGGAGAAAACAGGTAAAAAGAAAAATACTGTCTTTGTAACATGGTTATTCATCTTCCTCCTATACTGCTTTTGAATGACATATTAATCTAAGAAACCGTATAAGTTAAAGCTAAAACTCACTGTTCTTTGATCAATTTTGAATGTTTAGGATACAGCAGTTAAAACAGTTACTGGAGGATTCTACCTCAGATGAAGATGGGAGCAGCTCCAGTTCCTCCGAAGGTAAAGAGAAACACAAGAAAAAGAAGAAGAAAGAAAAGCATAAGAAAAGGAAAAAAGAAAAGAAAAAGAAGAAAAAACGGAAGCACAAATCTTCCAAGTCAAATGAGAGTTCTGACTCAGAGTGACAAGGATGTGACTTGTTCAACGTTCTCTTCTCACACACTGACCAAGGAACAGAGGAAGATGCAGTCAGACAAAGTAGCAGGATAGAGATGCAGAGACAGGAGGATACGTGGGTCACAGCAGTGAGCTCCCACCTGCCTTCCAGTGAAGATGTGACTCCAGGAGAGGGAGTGTCTCCTTCCAGGTGCTAGCTCTGGACAGCCGCTGATTTTAGGTAGGAAAAGTTTCTTTGGTGTTGTCCTCCCTGCTGGTCACATAAGTTTATGATTCCTTTGAAATGTCTCCCGCAGGGTGGCAGGACTGGGGGAGTCTCTGAGGTGTGTCTTCCATGCCCTCCCACAGCTTGTGCCCTCCACAGTGTGGACTCAGGTCCCATAGATATCAGGCTGGAGTCTTCTCTGTTGTTAAGAATAATAAAAGCTCATTATTTATTTTTTAAATGGAATATATTTATTTATTAATAATATAGAAGTATAAATAATACATAATACAAATTTTAAAAGTACATAAAATTTAATCATGAAAACTCTTCTTTCTTCCTTTCTACTCCACTTACTTTCCCCAATGTCTACCAGTGGTACTAGTTTCTTATGAATATTTTATATATCACAAGCAAGTACAGGGCTTTTCTTACACAAATGCTATCTACATGCACTCACACATAGTTACATTTTAAACTTAGAAGTATGAACCTTGCAGTGGTCAGTAGCTGAGGAGGGTTGGATCCAGGACCAACTCCCTCAATCCCTCATAGATACCAAAATCTGTGGATGCCCAAGTGCCTTACATTAAATGGCGTGCTATTTGCCTATTGCCTACATACATCTTCCCATATACTGTAATTCATCTGTAGATTACTTATAACACCTAATACAATGTAAACAGTTGTTATAATGTATTATTTAGGGAATAATGGCAAGAGAGAGTCTGTGCATGTTCCATAGAGACAGAACCACCCATTTATTTTTTTGAATATTTTCTATCTGTAGTTTGATGAATTCACAAATGTAGAACTTGCTGATAGGGTGGGCCCACTGTTTTTATATATCGAGTATATTTGGCTTTACTGCCGTATCAGAATTGTACATTTATATTTCCCTGACATGATTTGTTGATTGGGGGCTAGGGAGTTCTTAAAACAATGAAAAACCTTGTATGGCTGCATTCTACTTCACTTGCTTTCTACTACCAAAGTCCCACAATTTTCACAGAGCGACTAAGAAAAAGTTTAGGAATATACAGGGATTTCCATACTGGGTCAGGTACCCACATCCCAAAATCTCTCTCCCTTTCTTTCTCTTCCTGTTGCCTGACCACAGCCCACCTGTGCCCTTGTAGCTGAGACTAGGCCACAGTAGAAGCATCTCAGGAGGCCAGGGTGTGTCAATCTATTGTTTGCTGAGCCAAAGTGAAGCTGGATCTTGCTCATAGGCAAGTGTGTTCCTCTGTGGCGAACACTGGACTCTTGATGCTTTAGGCACTCAGTCAGGGTCCCAGAAACTCACTCCCATTTTTTGCTACTTTTCCTGGGGTTTGGATTCCCTCCTTTTTAAGGAGCAGCCAAGCCAGGCCCAGACTGACCCTTCTCCAGCTCTCAGCAGTCAGTGCTACTATTCTTGACTTTGGAATACAACCTGAATGGGTTTTCACACAATCAAGAATGGGATGGCCAGGACTTATTATTTATGAAAACTGTAAGGCCAGTGGATTCAGCCTTGCCTTACACTTATCCTTGTCATGCAGAACACAGGCCATCTGTCCTCTGCCATATGCTCAGCATTTCCCACCCAGGTACAGCCGGTCCTCTTCTTCCAGGAACTGGCTACTGTCCCTCCACAATCCCATTCATGATAAAAGCATTCTTACACATGAGAGATGCTGCATCGATAATTCTCAAGCCTTCGAGGCATCCAGATCAACTAAAGATGCAGATTCCTGTGCTCCACTCAAAAACTACCAGAATTTTCCATTTCCTAGGTCTGGGGTGAATCTGGGAATCTACCTTGCTAACAAGTGATGCTGACACTGTTGGTTCAGGAACCCCACTTGGAGAACCTGTGCTCTAGATCTCTACCCTCTTACTGAAGCCTTCTTCCACTTCCTGCTTTAACTGGAATCCAGCCATCCACCCCTGCAGCCCTTGCAAGTGAATTGCTATCCCTTCTCTCTCACTGGTTTTCTCTGTCTTGTCTGTTTCTGGCCTAGATTCTGGGGAGCATCACTTCAGCCTGTCATCTCCCCTGACCTGTGATCCTTTTGTCCAGTTCTCCCAAAAGAAACTTCAATTAAAATCTTTCACTTCTGCATATTGTATATACAGACTGCACGGGGAAAACACATACCCATGTAGATTGATGCCCCCACAAATTCATCATCTCCAAACTCAAATATTTGAGAACTGACCCCAAAATGCTGACTAGCAAACCAAAAGCTTGTTAGCCATCTATTTAAACCTTCTTCATTCTCAGGCATTTCCTTCAGGTTCTGCATTTTCTACTCCTATCCAGGAAGACAATATCAGCCCTCAGACCTCCCCTCACTAATGCAGCCTACCATCTCACCATCATGGTGTGCATGTTAGGCAAAATTCTAAAATGGCCCATGATCTCTACCCCTAATCTTCAGTACTGTTAATAGGATGCATTTTACTCCTGTGACTGGATTATGTTACCAGTACAAGGAGAGGGAGACCATCTGGGTGTTCCTAATCAAATCATGAGAGTTTGGAACTCTCGAGTTGTCTATGGCTAATAATCAAAGAGGAAGTAAGACAGTCCAAGCCTGTGAAAGATTCCACACATCATCACTGGCTTTAAAGTTGAAGGGGCCACATGGTGAGGGATGCAACAGACTCTCATCAAAGGTTCCTCACTAACAGCCAGCAAAGAAATGGAGCTGTCCGTCCTACAGCCGAAAGTAACTGAATTCTGCCACCCTCAATGATTCTGGATGCATATTCTTCCCTAGAGCCTCCAGATGGAAGCCCACCTCTGCTGACACCTTGGGTTGGGGCTTGTGAGATGCAAAGTCGAGAGCCCACTTGAGCCTGCCCAGGGTTCTGACCTATACCACCATGAGGGAATCAGTGGTGGTGGTTTTGACCTTTTACTTTTGTGGGAAAGTGTTAATGCAGCAACAAACTGATCCAGAAGTTTAATGAGCTTTCCCTCCTCCTCTCAGGCCAGTCCATCACCTGTGCTCTGGAGCCCACCATCAGCCAGCAGTAGGGGGCAGTGGCTGGAGCACTGGCCCTGCATCCAGACTGCCTGGCTTTGAATCCCAGCTTTGCTAGCTATGGAGTTGCTCCACCTCTCTGTGCCTCCATGTCCTTGACTGATCATATCTACCTCCTAGACTCCTCATGAGAATAAGGGGACTTGATATGCATAAAGCATTTAGAGCAGGGTGTGGCACATCTCAACTCTAAATGAATGTTACCTGCTCCTGCTGCTACTGGTACTGCTGTCACCATCATCTGATCCTTGGGGAGCTTCCTCCTTTATCCCATGTCACTCACGTCCTGAAACTCTTCCTTTCTATTGTGATCTTGCCACCAGTATTTAAAAAACTTTTAAAATTGTAAAATACATGCTCATAAAGAGTTCACAATTCTGAGCCATTCAAGAATAAAAAGTGAAAGAAGAGTCTACTTATGATGCTTTAATACAGAACTCCAGATCCTGATCAAAATGCGTCAGCAAACACAGATGAACAGGAAGGGTTTTGAATTGTTAGTTTCACATAACAGATAAACACCAGGAATGCTGTTCTGTGACCCCATTTCACTCTATGTTGGTAATCTTACTGCTCACAACAAGCTTCAGGTGGCTACAAAATCCCTCAGTTTGAATGTGCCATGATTCATTTAACCATTAATCTATTTATCACAATTCATTTGTCTCCTATTTCTCATTCCTACAAATAAGACTGAAAAGAAAATCTTGGGTAAATATCTCGTGTACATGTGCAAATATTTCAATAGAATAGTTTCATAATAAGGCAATTGCGTATTTTAATTGTTACATATACTACCAAATGAGTCAATGCTGTGGTTTGATTATGTCTCCCAGAATTCATATGTTGGAAACTTAATTCCTAGTGCAAAAATATTAAGAGGTGGGGCCTTAAAGAAATGATTATGCCATGAGAGCTCTGTCCTAACAAATGACTTAGTGCTATTATCTTGTGAGTGGGTAACTTATCTCTAGTGGGCTTGTTATAAAGTAGCCCTTTGTTCCACATGCTCACAATTCCATGCTTTCTCTATTTTTTTTGAGACGGAGTCTCCCTTTGTCACCCAGGCTGGAATGCAGTGGCGTGATCTCGGCTCACTGCAATCTCCACCTCCCAGGTTCAAGCAATTCTCCTGCCTCGCTGAGTAGCTGGGATTACAGGCGTGCACCACCACGCCTGGCTAATTTTTGTATTTTTAGTAGAGACGGGGTTTCACCATGTTGGTCAGGCTGGTCTCAAATTCCTGACCTCGTGATCCATCCGCCTCGGCCTCCCAAAGTGCTGGGATTACAGGCGTGAGCCACCGTGCCTGGCCTCTCTCCCTTTAAAAGCAGTCCTGTCTTGGCCAGGCACATTGGCTCATGCCTGTAATCCCAACACTTCGGGAGGCCAAGGTGGGTGGATCACTTGAGGTCAGGAGATCAAAACCAGCCTGACCAACATGGTGAAACCCCGTCTCTACAGAAAACATAAAAATTAGCCAGGCGTGGCTGGGCGCAGTGGCTCAAGCCTGTAATCCCAGCACTTTGGGAGGCCGAGACGGGTGGATCACGAGGTCAGGAGATTGAGACCATCCTGGCTAACACGGTGAAACCCCGTCTCTACTAAAAAAATACAAAAAACTAGCCAGGCGAGGTGGTGGGCGCCTGTAGTCCCAGCTACTCGGGAGGCTGAGGCAGGAGAATTGCTTGAACCCAGGAGGTGGAGGTTGCAGTGAGCCAAGATTGCTCCATTGCACTCCAGCCTGGGTGACAGAGTAAGACTCTGTCTAAAAAAAAAAAAAAAACACCATTTCTATTAATTAGGGCTGCACTCTCATCACCTCATTTAACCTTAATTACCTCTTTAAAGGCCGTAGCTCCAAATGCACATTGGGGGTTGGGACTTCAACGAATGAATTTGGGAGAAATACAATTCAGTCCATAACACACCTGGTGCCACCAAAAGAGCTCTTGCAAGGACCATCATTACCTCATTGTTATCAGATCTACCACATCCTCTCTATTCCTTTGATTTGTTTGGCCTTTGACTTTTTGGGACACTTTTTCTTTAAAGATCCTCAACATTGGATTTCATGGTTCCTCTCTTCTAGGTTCTCCACCTAACTACTTCAGTGGCTGCTCCTTCCTAGTCTCCCTTATAAGTTTTGGCCTCCATCCTTTAA